AGATGCACTTATTGTGCCTCGTTTTTCTCAGCTTTTTGGTGATTTCAGTAAAACTTCCCTCTACTTGACTCGACTGGGGATTGCAGGGGAACGAAACAAGTTAGAAACACAATTCTTTTTGCTGCTGAAGTACAGTCCATTCTTTCAGAATCTGGTTTCGGATTCCAGTCATAGTACACAATATTCTGTGGGTCTTGAAAAATCTATAAACTCCTCAGAAACTGCTGGCAATATGGGAGTACCTGTTCTGAGATAGACACTCATTGCCTACCAGCCTATTATTGTATTTCCATTCATAAACAAGAAAGGAGCCTGCATGCTGTCCTACTTGAATGGCTTTAAACATGTAACATTTGTAAATACATTCGACAATGCAAGTAAGGCAGTGTAGGATCTTGTTTTTTAATGCACGGAACACCATTGAGAGGCCCATACACTTTTGAATGAACTCAATAAACAGAGCCTTTATTTGAAGAATATCTTGTACAGTTATATGTCTAATCAAACATACCTGACCTATGGTCCCATGGACGGTGGTGCCCGTCTTGCATGTGCTTTGTATGCAGTAATTTCAAAGTATTTACCCTTTTCTCAATTGATTGATGTCCACCTCAATCAATCAATCAATCAAAGTTTATTTGTAGAGCGCCTTTCATACACATGGCAACACAAAGCGCTTCACAGTCCACATCACAAATCATCACATAAAACAAACACCAGAATCACAATTAAAACATTAAAATCACACAAAAGATTAAAACACAATTAAAACATTAAAATCACACAAAAGAATAAAACCATTAAAACTTTCAAAATTACACAAGAAATTTAAAAAAATAAATAAATGACAGCAGTGCATTAAAAATGGAGATAAAATCCTTCAGTTGTATGCACAGGCAAACAGAACAGTCTTTAACCTGGATTTGAACATTGACAGAGTAGACGCCTCCCTCACATTTTCAGGGAGATTGTTCCAGATCTTAGCTGCATGGATCTGAAACGCAGCCTCCCCATGTTTGGTTCTCACTCTGGGCACCAGCAGGAGGCCAGTCCCTGTGCTCCTCAGAGTCCGGGCTGGTTCATATGACACCAACATGTCACTAATGTATTCTGGTGCAAGGCCATGGAGAGACTTGTACACAAGCAGAGCCGTTTTAAAATCTATTCTTTGAGCCACAGGAAGCCAGTGCAAAGACCTGAGGACCGGACTAATATGGTCATACTTCCTGGTTCCTGTCAGGACTCTAGCTGCTGCATTTTGGATGTACTGCAGCTGCTTACAGGTCTGTTTGGACCTCGTTTCTTTCTTCCTTAAATATAACAAAACACAGTTTAATCTTCATGTCCTATTATTGTTAATTCAACAGAGGTGAAAGTATTATAGTAGCAGAGTTTTTTTATCCACATAAAATACAAAATTGGTAATATTGCTTCACTAAAACTTACACACAAAGTAATACAAGATACATGTGTCAATATTATGTTTTCTTACATCACGAGCTGGAGCCTGTTTGCTACCAACCTTTCTGTCCATGTCTCCTCAATAATAATTGTTACAGAAAATGGGGCAATGCATTTTCACTCATAAACAATCATTTGACGTTGAGAAAAATAAGTTCTATTAATATTGAAAATTATCCATTTCGATCCATCATTTAACATCAAATTTAACTTTACCTCTAGAAAGCGTCACAGTATGTTCAATCCGAATGGCCTGTGTAGTTGAAGCTAACATGACGTAATGCGGACTGAGGCTGTTCTGAACATTTTCCAGAACTATTTTCAAACCAAAGCTAACAACAGACCGTCCGAGCGCGTATACAAGCATCAAAACTGCCTTTAAACGCGGATTACTCTATGAAATCTTAATATAAACAGACAAAACTTACCACAGAGGAAGATACACATGTGTAGAAAGTACCCACCAAACGTTAGCCGCGAGCGCTAATGCTAACAGCGGCAGTAAGGACGAGTTCGACAAAAAGGTGGGGGTGTCCGACTCAGGATAACAGGCACCAGAAAGTGTCCGACTCAGGGTGCACTCCCGTTAACTAATTACTTTGACAGTAACTATAACGCCGTTATCATTTCCGACATCCCGTTACTGCGCGTTACTCAAGACGCACAATGAACATGTTGTCATGAGAGAAATGAGGATGAGAAAACCTCTCAGCAATAATTGGCTGATATAAATCATATTTCCTTTACAATCTACATGTCTACAGTTGAGAGGATGGCTCATAAATTGTGTTTTTGAAACAAATATGGGTCTTAATCGCGCTCAACCACGGCTTGTATCACCATGAGGTCAGCCACAGAGGAGCGCATGTGAGCGCAGAAGTCGGCTGCATACAATTCCATACAGTGTTGCCAACTCCTCAGTAAGGAAAGTAGCTATTGGCTGTCCCAAAAGTCGTTAGAAGTCGCTAAATGACGTCATCGCCTAATTTGCATAATTTGCCATTTGCAAATAACTGTAACGGACACTGTAGGAGAGAGGAATAAGGTTGTGGGAGAGACAAAAGTGAGTAAAAACACCCTAAATATGTTTAGAACTACAAATGTACAAAAATAATTTCAACATTAACAACATTTAATGATTTTAATGCTTTGTCTAGATCCACATTACACACATCAGTTTTGTCCTGTATTGTTAAATGTTATAACAGCAAATGTAATCAAAAGATTGTTATGTAGGGTGAAATTGCTAGCTCTACAACCAACCCTCCTCCTTTATCCGGGCTTGGGACCGGCAAAGTGACCCAAAAGACACACTCTGGCAGAGTTACTTAGGTTTATTTTTGTAAGTTTTTTTTTTTTTTCATAGTTTGGCATAACAAATGATTTAATGTGACCCACTACTGAGAGAAAACAGAGTCACGGATGGAGTGGGGGGTAGTGGGGGGTGGCGGTGGTAGGAGTGGCCGGGGAGCTTTGGATGTGTGGTGGTGGTGGAGCTGAAGTTCAGTCTGCAGCAGCCTAAAAACTTCCTGTGCTTTTGAGTCTCCTCTCTCTCTCTCTGCTCCGCCCATAGACTGTAGCTGGGACTGCTGCGCAAGGCTACTGTGAGACTGGCCGCCTGTAGTGCTTTGGGACGGGGGAGGGGCTCACATTGAGGACAGCAGAACAATACGTGCTTCACGAGTCTCCAAAACACCAGATAAGTCGCCAAAACACCAGATAAGTCGCCAATAACACCAGAAAAAGTCGCTAGATTTGTCGCTAGTCGCTTTTTTGAAAAAAAGTCGCTATAGGGGTCTGAAAAGTCGCTAAATCTAGCGACAAAGTCGCTAAGTTGGCAACACTGATTCCATCGATAAGCTCCTTGCTCTTCCTGGTTTATATGCTAAGGACAGCAACAGGTTTGGCTAACATACATATAACACATTTTTACATAATCTAAAATGCACATAGGGTAATTTTTCAATTACTATAGGAATGATAAGAAAGAGAGGTGAAGTGTTAGACGGTTGATTTTAGAAATTGGATGCACCCGGCTTCAGCTAGCAAAACAGAGGAGTTTATGGAGGACACACGCGTTTTGTTTTACTTTTTAAAACTCATTGGACTCATTTCCAAATGGAGGATTACATATCTACGCTCAAACCATGAACTGGATTTAAACAAGGAACTGGTCTGAACCGAAGTGGACTGTGCAGGTCATTTATAAGGTATGAACAAACAATGCGGGCATAAAACATATTTTGCTGTAGCCAAACAAATTGTCCACTTGATTTATATGATGTATATGTTCATCTGATTGGACTGAAGTCAGTGCTTCACCGGTGTTTCCACATTCACAGTGGCGGGTGTTGGTGTTTAGTGCTTACAGCACAGTGAGAGATGAAGAGTGAACAGGACTTCAGCAGCAAAACAGCCTTTTCTAGATGGAAATATTGGCACTGTTAAAGGTAAAAATGCGCACGTCGGGTGCACATTATGTTCCAGAACAAAACGAAAAAGTAACGCAATAGTTACTTTTACTGGTAACTAGTTACTTTTATAGTGGAGTAACTCCGTTAGTAACTCAGTTACTTTTTGGGAGAAGTAACTAGTAACTATAACTAATTACTTTTTCAAAGTAACGTGCCCAACACTGATGATTTTTGCCGGTGTTGAACACAGAACTTAAGGACACATAGTATTAGCCAGCATGTCAGTAACATTGCGAGCATAAAATGACAGTTACATCTGTTAGCTTTTGAACATACATACATATGATATTGACAGTGTTATTTTTGTGCCGCTTTCATCGCTTTGTAAACACGTCACCGGTACATAAGGTCCGATGTAGCCTTATTTTAGCATTTTATGAGCCCGAAGTAGTGCTGGCAGGTTAGCTCGAGGATCCCGTCTTAAATAACTATTTTCACCGTATGTTTAGAAATACGATGTTAGACATCATCATCATGTAAGACATGGAAAATGCCACAAACGCACATGATATATTTTTTGTCTATTAGGCTACGTTTCTAAACTATTCTTCACACTTTGTTTAATAGGGTGCACGATTTGTTCAAACATAAAATACTTATCACTGTAGTAGACAATTGACTAAAACCCATTGAGATAAGTTTTTATATTAACCCTTAAAAGTCTATCTTGTCGTCGGCGACAAGTGCGCACATGTTTTACAAGTGATTAATTTACTCGCAAACGGTACTTTTTTTTTTGCCGTGAAGTAGACATCCCAGGCATTACGGAAATACCTTTGGTTTGTCTCTGTACATACCATGGATCTATTAGGTACATACATACTACGTGTGTATGAAAGTCAGTGTCCAATCGGATCTTTGAGCAGAGACCCGTGAGCCAGAAAACTGCCAATTGTAAAGTTTTTCACTCACGCTGGACTCACACGGGGAATAACACAAAGGGACACAGCAGGTCTGAGGGACTTGGATAGGGCAGGCTTTGCTCTCCAACTGACACCATCTCAATATCGTTTGTGTCTGGATACACTTATAGTTTTGCTCACTTTCTGCAGTTTGGGTCTGGAGATGGTTCCTGTCCGTACAGAGGACATGTCTGAGGCTCCTGTCCGTACAGAGGACATGTCTGAGGCTCCTGTCAGTACAGAGGACATGTCTGAGGCTCCTGTCCGTACAGAGGACATGTCTGAGGCTCCTGTCAGTACAGAGGACATGTCTGAGGCTCCTGTTCGTACAGAGGACATGTCTGAGGCTCCTGTCAGTACAGAGGACATGTCTGAGGCTCCTGTTCGTACAGAGGACATGTCTGAGGCTCCTGTCAGTACAGAGGACATGTCTGAGGCTCCTGTTCGTACAGAGGACATGTCTGAGGCTCCTGTTCGTACAGAGGACATGTCTGAGGCTCCTGTCAGTACAGAGGACATGTCTGAGGCTCCTGTCAGTACAGAGGACATGTCTGAGGCTCCTGTCAGTACAGAGGACAGGTCTGAGGCTCCTGTTCTTACAGAGGACAGGTCTGAGGCTCCTGTTCGTACAGAGGACATGTCTGAGAAAAGAGGTGGATATTATTCAGAACTAATGTTGGAGGAAAGGTATATACTATGAATACACTAATCTCTTTATCTCCTCTGTAAGAACTGGAGCCTCTTCTGTCCTCCACTCGTTACCTGTATTAATGGCACCTGTTTGAACTGGTCATCTGTATAAAAGACACCTGTCCTGTTGTCTTTAATACCCTTGACAGACGTGTTCAAAGTTGATGCAGAAGTAAGACAAAAGGTTCCAAGTTTAACATCTGTATTTAATTTATCTTCACAATCAGATACAGAAATTCAACAAGCTCCTAAACTTATGCCTGCTCTCTGTGTCCCTCGCTGCCCCTGAGCTGACTGAGCCCCAGAACTCAAGCCAACAGTTTTATCAGGACGTCCGATGACGTCATATGGTCTGAGACTGGATTCCGGGTCTGGTCTCTGGTCTGGATTTTGGTCTTGGTTTTGGTCTTCCATATCAGCTTTAGCAAACAATGCCCCCACCCGTGCGGCGCCTGTGTGGGACTTAGACAAACGCAGATGCTGCGGGGGGGGGGGGGGGGGGGATTATTGAATAACCCTTCTGGGTGACAGGATTGGGGAGATCTTCCATCATCGCCAACGTCTTAGTTCTGGCTCGATATCTGTGAAGAATTAATACAGGGAAAACAAACAACACACAACCACATTTGAAACATATGTTTTTATCTAATAAATCCCTCTATACTATGGTTTTGCTTTCATTAACAGTGGCTTTGTGCCCAACGTGGGGCTTTGCTCATATTTCCAAATACATTTGTTGAACCAGGAAGTGCTGCCACTTCCTCCTCTCAGACAGTTTGGGAAGAATGTACATCATTAATCAAATTGGTATTATCCTTACAGGAGCTAAGGTATTTGATTCTCTAATCTGTGCTGACAAATCGACAGCTCTTAAAATTCTCAAAAATACCTAATTATCTACTTTTATGCTATACCCAAATACATTAAAATGCTTTTAAATGTTTTTGAATCTGTGCTGGTTCTAATCTATCTCATTAATCTAAGCTACACTCATGAACTCCTTGCATTGTCAACATTCACCTATGTTTGAAACAAGTGAATTTGACAAGCATCTAATAAAACTGTGCATAAACTGTAATGAACTTTATCTACTTTTGAAGTAAATACTTTTGGACATATTATGAAGGAAATGGTCCTTTTACAGTTTGATATTAGCCCTGGCTAAAAATAATCTCTATTTTTGAAAGCATCTATCTATTTCTACTCTATTGTGACTCCAAAGCTCGGTTGTAGCTTGAGCCAAAAAGGTTGACTAAAAGTCAACCTTTTTGTCTGCCAGACTGAACACTTGACATTTATTGCATTTGTCGCAGTTGTGGTTCTAGTGGTAACAATTGCATTGGCAATAGATGATTTTTCATTGGCTGGTTCTTGTTCTGCAAATCACTATTTTATGTATTGTATTTCAGACAATTCCAAAAACAACACAGTAGTTCTCCAATATTAAAGACATGAATCTAATCAAGTTGCCTGAAAGGGATTGGGAGGAAGAGAACTATTTTAAAAATGTCCTCTACGATTATATGGCTATGAAATTAATTATTCAATAAACGAAAGCACATTCATGGCTTCTGTCCGCTGCTTATAACTGTTTAAAGAGTTGCCCAAAACTTAATATGTGTAAATACATCAGCTGTTTGTAATAAACAATAACATTTAACCTGTTCTCCAATGGAGCAGCTCAGAGGCTATTTTTAGATTTAAAATTTTGTTAAAGCCTGTCGTTCTATGTCTGCATTTTAATACTACTCCCAAACTTATCTGCACTAGATCCTACAGATGTGGAAAACAGAAGCATCTAAAATCTGACTCTATTTGATTCCTTTTTACTTTAGTTATGAGAACAATTTGACCTTATTGATACTTATTTTCACAATAGAACTATTTTGATTATTCACTAGTCTAACTATTATTACTATTGTTTATTCTGACACCTCTTCTTAGCGACATTTTAACCTATAGCTCCTTGAATCCAATGACATTATAGCTCCGGACTATTTCATTCTATTCTATTATTATTATTATATGATCTATTATATAAGTGCTATGAGACTTGGGTGGCATCTCTGATTGCCACCCCCCTGACCCAGAAATGGATTAAAGGGTAGAAAATGGATGGATGGATGGATCTATTATCTTAAAGAGTAGATCTGTTTGATGTTATAAGCGCTATTATTTCTCCTTTTGAATTTGCACAACACTAAATTTAGAATGACCCCCTATGGGACAAATAAAGAATTTTATTTTATTTTGGCAACTCCGAAAATTATTTAATAATTTTCCCATTTTGCTTTTAGGCTGCCCTTTCTATTATTTATTTGTTCTTGTAAATATATGTTTTACACTTCTTTCTAATGATTTAGAAGGTTAAGGACCATGACCACCTATCATCATTGTATGTCGATATGCATAGAGTTCAAACTACACTTATCAAAATACATTTTTATCTACTATTTACAATTTCTCAACAATTCTCTCCAACAAACTCAACAGTCTCTCCTTTCTCTCTTCCTCTCTTCTTCCCCTCTCCTCTTCTCGCTTCTCCCTTCCTCTCTTCTTCCCCTCTCCTCTTCTCGCTTCTCCCTTTCCTCTTCCTTCTTCTCCACCTTCTCCAAAAAACTAATTCAACTCTCCCTCCTCGGCCTCTTGGCTGCCACACTGCTTTCCTCTTCCTCTACCTCCTCTGGCTGTACGGGGGCAGGGGGTTGTTCCACAGATGTGGAAACGCCCTCCCCCATGGATGAGGCAATCAGGCAGGGAGGCTGCACGGATGGCCTGCTGCCTATCACCTCATCCATGAGGGAGTACCACTTCCAAGATATGGCGATGGGCTCCCCTCCTTCTGTCCCTGTCCGTGGCTGTCTGAGCTCCTTAAAACAGTGAGTTTTGTATAATAAATGCTTCACAAATTAGCTTCAAAGAAACAAACCTTGTAGGTCTTTTTCAGGTTCTCCCACTTCTTGGCCGCTCTGGCAGGGCTGATCAGGCGGCTCAGCCCCATTTCCTTTATTACTTACTGCCCTAAAGTAACAATACATAAAAACATTTGAATATGAGTAGACGTTTTTTGAATAAGTATTTATTCATAATGGTCATACTCCCATCCAGCCGCCGAAGCAAATTTTTCACCCGCAGTCAGATGAGTCTCTCCACATCAGTGTCTGTCACAATCTGTCCTTTTCACTTCTGAGTAAAAAACATTAGAGCGGAACACACCAGACCTATTGTACATATTTTTAGTGGTAGGGGAAACCGGAGTAAGGAAACCTACGCAGACACGGGGAGAACATGCAAACTCCACTCAGAAAGGCCCTGGTCCAACCGGGATTCGAACCCAGGACCTTCTTGCTGAGAGGCGAGAGTGCTATCCACTCAGCCACCGTGCCGCATTTATGTATAAATGCTATACATATAACACAAGTGCTTTAATAACATTAATGACTGACCACCAGTGACCCGTTTCTGTAGCGTTCGCTTTAGATGTTAATGTTATGATATGCAAAAATGCTAACACTTTCGCGGCATAACATTGGTACGTTGTTTTGCAGTAAAAGGCAATGGTATTCAAATGTGTATTTTGGCAGCTTATCGTCAACAATATATCACGGTTTACACATTTACATATTTATGATGATTAAAAACTCACATTTGTAGCTCATGTCCCGCTTCTCTTCCAACCCGTCTCTCTGTGCCTCCGCCATTGTTCTTCCGTATAGTGACCACTGCTGCTCACTACATTTTTGAGATGCATTGTGGGAAACTTCCAGTGCACTACTTTTTCTCTCTGGACATTCGGACACCCCTACAAAATGGCGTGACCACTATATAGTGCACTATATAGGGTATAGGCTGTATCCGAATGTCCACACTATACCCTATATAGTGCAAAACAACGTACCAATGTTATGCCGCGAAAGTGTTAGCATTTTCGCATATCATAACATTAACATCTAAAGCGAACGCTACAGAAACGGGTCACTGGTGGTCAGTCATTAATGTTATTAAAGCACTTGTGTTATATGTATAGCATTTATTGTGTGTTTAATGTTTTTTAAAGGGACAGACACTGATGTGGAGAGACTCATCTGACTGCGGGTGAAAAATTTGCTTCGGCGGCTGGATGGGAGTATGACCATTATGAATAAATACTTATTCAAAAAACGTCTACTCATATTCAAATGTTTTTATGTATTGTTACTTTAGGGCAGTAATAAAGGAAATGGGGCTGAGCCGCCTGATCAGCCCTGCCAGAGCGGCCAAGAAGTGGGAGAACCTGAAAAAGACCTACAAGGTTTGTTTCTTTGAAGCTAATTTGTGAAGCATTTATTATACAAAACTCACTGTTTTAAGGAGCTCAGACAGCCACGGACAGGGACAGAAGGAGGGGAGCCCATCGCCATATCTTGGAAGTGGTACTCCCTCATGGATGAGGTGATAGGCAGCAGGCCATCCGTGCAGCCTCCCTGCCTGATTGCCTCATCCATGGGGGAGGGCGTTTCCACATCTGTGGAACAACCCCCTGCCCCCGTACAGCCAGAGGAGGAGGAAGAGGAAAGCAGTGTGGCAGCCAAGAGGCCGAGGAGGGAGAGTTAAATTAGTTTTTTGGAGAAGGTGGAGAAGAAGGAAGAGGAAAGGGAGAAGCGAGAAGAGGAGAGGGGAAGAAGAGAGGAAGGGAGAAGCGGAGAAGAGGAGAGGGGAAGAAGAGAGGAAGAGAGAAAGGAGAGACTGTTGAGTTTGTTGGAGAGAATTGTTGAGAAATTGTAAATAGTAGATAAAAATGTATTTTGATAAGTGTAGTTTGAACTCTATGCATATCGACATACAATGATGAACACTATTTACACAAACAAAATTTAATCAACTAGACATTTGTAAAGAAAACTATACATACATTCAACAATTTCTTTTTAGATATTTACATATTCAATTGTCTCCCCCTGGACTGCCACCTTAACGTGGTGGGGGAGTTTGAGTACTCGAATGAGAGATAGAGATAGTCGGCCTCACCTCCACACACAGCTTGGGCTCTGGAACCCAACTCCTTGAGAGGGGTTGGACGCTCCACTTTTCTGGAGTTTCCCGCGGGGAGAGGCGGCGAGCTGGGGTGGCCATTCTCATTGCCCCCCATCTCAGCCGCCACGTGTTGGAGTTCTCCCCGGTGAATGAGAGGGTCGCGTCCCTCCGCCTCCGGGTGGGGGACAAGTCTCTCACTGTTGTGACGGCCTACGGCCCTAACGGCAGTGTAGAGTACCCGGCCTTCTTGGAGTCCTTGGGAGGGGTACTGGACGGTGCACCGCCCGGGGACTCCGTTATTCTCCTGGGGGACTTCAACGCCCATGTGGGGAAACGCCAGTGACACTTGGAGAGGGGTGATCGGGAAGAGCGGCCCCCCTGATCTGAACCCGAGCGGTGTTCAGTTGTTGGACTTCTGTGCCAGTCGCGGTTTGTCCATCACGAACACCATGTTCGAGCACAAGGGTGTCCACCAGTGCACGTGGCACCAGGACACCCTAGGCCGGAGGTCGATGATCGACTTTGTTGTCGTATCTCATCTGACCTTCGACCGCGTTTCTCGGACACTCGGGTAAAGAGAGGGGCGGAGCTGTCAACCGATCATCACCTGGTCGTGAGTTGGATCCGCTGGCAGGGGAAGAAACCGGTCAGACCTGGCAGACCCAAGCGTATAGTGAGGGTCTGCTGGGAACGTCTCGCTGAGCCCCCTGTCAGACGGACTTTCAACTCACACCTCCGGGAGAGTTTCTCCCAGGTCCCGGCGGAGGAGGGGGACATGGAGTCCGAGTGGACCATGTTCTCTGCCTCAATCGCCGATGCGGCGGCTCGTAGCTGTGGTCGCAAGGTCTCTGGTGCTGGTCCCGGCGGCAACCCCCGAACCCGGTGGTGGACACCGGCAGTAAGGGATGCTGTCAGGCTGAAGAAGGAGTTCTATCGAGCCATGATGGTTCGGGGGACTCCTGAGGCAGCTGTCCAGTACCGGCAGGCCAAGCGTGCCGCGGCCCGGGCTGTTGCAGAGGCAAAAACCCGGGACTGGGAGGAGTTCGGAGAGTCCATGGAGCATGACTATCGGTCGGCCTCGAAGAGATTCTGGCAAACTGTCCGGCGCCTCAGGAGGGGGAAGCAGTTCTTTGCCAACACCATGTACGGTGCGTGTGGAGAGCTGCTGACCTCGACTGGGGATATTGTCGGGCGGTGGAAGGAATACTTTGAGGTTCTCCTCAATCCCCCCGTCACGTCCTCCGTTACAGAGGCAGAGGCTGAGGATGTTGGGGCGGGTACATCCATCTCCCTGGCTGAGGTCACCAAGGTGGTTGGTAGCCTCCATGGTGGCAAGGCTCCGGGTGTGGATGAGATCCGCCCTGACTATCTAAAGTCTCTGGATGTTGTAGGACTGTCTTGGCTGACACGTCTCTGCAACATCACGTGGCGATCGGGGGCAGTGCCAATGGAGTGGCAGACCGGGGTGGTGGTCCCTCTCTACAAGAAGGGGGACCGGAGGGTGTGTTCCAATTATCGTGGGATCACACTCCTCAGCCTCCCCGGTAAGGTCTACTCCAAGGTACTGGAGAGGAGGTTACGGCCGATGGTCGAATCTCGGATCCAGGAGGAGCAGTGTGGTTTTCGTCCCGGTCGCGGAACACTGGACCAGCTCTATACTCTCCATCGGATACTCGAGGGTTCATGGGAGTTCGCCCAACCTGTCCACATGTGCTTTGTGGATTTGGAGAAGGCGTTCGACTGTGTTCCCCGGGTGTCCTTTGGGGGGTTCTCCGGGAGTACGGGGTCGGAGGTCCTCTGCTGAGGGCCATCCGATCCCTGTATGACCGGAGCCAGAGCTGTGTTCGCATTGCCGGCAGTAAGTCAGACTTGTTCCCGGTGAATGTTGGCCTCCGACAGGGCTGCCCTTTGTCACCGTTCTGTTCACTGTATTTATGGACAGAATATCTAGGCGCAGCCAGGGGTCGGAGGGGGTCCGGTTCGGAGACCACAGGATTTCATCTCTGCTGTTTGCGGACGATGTTGTCCTGTTGGCTCCAACGAACCAGGGCCTGCAACATGCACTGGGGCGGTTTGCAGCCGAGTGTGAAGCGGCTGGGATGAGAATCAGCACCTCCAAATCCGAGGCCATGGTGTTCGACCGGAAAAAGGTGCCTTGCCCTCTGCAGGTGGGTGGAGAGGTCCTTCCTCAAGTGGAGGAGTTCAAGTATCTCGGGGTCTTGTTCACGAGTGAGGGAAGAATGGAGCGTGAGATTGACAGGCGGATCGGTGCAGCGTGCGCAGTTATGCGGTCGCTGTATCGGACCGTTGTGGTGAAGAGGGAGCTGAGCCGAAAGGCAAAGCTCTCGATTTACCGGTCAATCTTCGTTCCCTCCCTCACCTATGGTCATGAGCTTTGGGTAATGACCGAAAGAACGAGATCGCGGATACAAGCGGTCGAAATGAGCTTCCTCCGCAGAGTGGCTGGGCGCTCCCTTAGAGATAGGGTGAGGAGCTCAGTCGCACGGGAGGAGCTCGGAGTAGAGCCGCTGCTTCTCCACGTCGAGAGGAACCAGTTGAGGTGGCTCGGGCATCTGTTCCGGATGCCTCCTGGACGCCTCCCTGGGGAGGTGTTCCGGGCACGTCCCACCGGGAGGAGGCCCCGCGGAAGACCCAGGACACGCTGGAGGGACTATGTCTCTCAGCTGGCCTGGGAACGCCTTGGGGTCCCCCCGGACGAGCTGGAGGAAGTGTGTGTGGATAGGGAAGTCTGGGCGTCTCTGCTTAGACTGCTGCCCCCGCGACCCGGCAACGGATAAAGCGGAAGAAAATGGATGGCATATTCAATTGTTTTTGTTTTTATTCAAATAGGCCAAAACACAGATTATTCAAACATTTAATTAATAGTCGTGGTCCCGAAGAGCTGGTAGCCTGGCCCTTGGGGTGGAAAGTGCTGCTGCCATCCGTCCACGCAGCTCCTGTCCACACTGCTGATCAGGCTGGTGCTGCTGATGCTGGTCCTGCTCATCATCAGGCCCTGGCTCCTCTTCCACTGGCTCCCAGAGATCACCATCGCTGATGCAGATGTTGTGCAGGATGGCGCAACAGGCAGTCACCTGGACTGCAAAGGTGGGTTGGACTTCCAGTGCCTTGAAAAAAATTGATCGCCATCTTGCCTTCATCATGTCAAACGCTCTTTCTGTTACAGATCGTGCCCGTGCATGGTGCCGGTTGAAGCGGGCTTCCACTGGGCTCCGAACAGGCTCTCTGTATGGAGGGAGGAGTGTGATGGGCTGACGGAGGCAAGGGTAGCCACCATCCCCAAGGAGGACGTGTCCATTTGGGGGATAGAGCCGGTGGACGTAGAGGGGGCTGTTTTTAAGCACTCGAGAATCGTGCACAGATCCGGGGTAGCCAACAAACAAATCAATAAATAAGCCACGGTGATTACACACAGCCTGCATTTGAATAGAATAAAACAATTTCCTGTTAAAATAACACTGTGCATTTTCTTGAAGGAGCTTTATTCTAATGTGGCAGCCGTCGATGCTCCCCACAACATTATTGAGAGCAGCTGATCCAGCCAGCAACTGAAACCCAGCTGCAACTTGGGGAAGTTCCTCTAGGGAAGGGAAATGAATTATTTGGCCACGCATTTGAAGGATCTGGTTGGCCACCCTGTGGATCACATCGTGGACTGTGGACTGGGGCATGTCAAATGCCCTGGCGACAACACGGTACGCGGTGCCACTGGCCAACCAAAAGAGGAAGACCAAAACCTCCATGTCCTGGCTCCAGCCCTGGTGATGAGCACTCCTCAGGTGGCTAACCAGACGGGTGATGGTGGTTCGAGTGAGACGAAAATCGGGGCGAAGGTCAGACTGGCCATTTAAGTACATGCTGACTAGGGGTGCATGGTGGTTCAGTCGGCAGTACACCGGTGGTTCACCCTAAAACAAAACAAAAATTCTCTTAAACTTAATATGATGCTTCTAGATTCATTTTTTAATTCTGTATCTGCACTTTTAGTTATGAGTGCAGACACAGGAATAAGTACTCATTTTTCATTTTGAGATTTAAAACTGTAAATAAAAATGAAGAGTATATAGCTGAAGTCATGTTCTTTTGTGCCCTGGCATTGATTTTGCCAAATGTATTGTGTGTTGCAGGGAGCTGGAGCTGCCCTGAGACAACTGAAGTAGAAACCCTCAGCCTACATCACTCGCACCTAATAACACACAAAAAAATCACAGAAGCCCTGTGCCCCATGGCCAACCAAATTCTATTATTGTTTAATGATTAAGTACTCATTTTTCATTTAGAAAAACATGAGTACTTAATCCATTTCCCTTGCTATGGTTTTGTGTTCTTTCAACCAATAAAATATTTTAATGTTCTTGCATTTTAAGTGAGTGTGTCTATACAATGTGTTTTCTTGTTGAAATATGTCTAAATGTATATGACTAATGTGTTTCTCATTGACTGAGAATAGTATTTTTAATTAGTAAGTACACCAAAAGTACTAATACAAATATTGATATTTTAATATACTTTTATTTATATATAAAATTATATTGATCCAATGACATGTGACAGGGGTGTGATGTGGGCCGCGGCTAAAAATAGTGTGCAGCTGTCCGAATCGCCAACAGAATGAGTGCACTGACTCACTCACTCAGTCGCTATATACATAGTTCCTACATGACGTCACTACATACGGGGATTTGCCGACCCGGCGCCATTTGTGTTGGCATTCTGTGGGCAAAACAATAGAAAAAGAAGCTGAAACGTGTTAATGTCGTGATAAAGTTGAAAATGGTCATCTCCTGCTGGGTCAATGGATGTTCAAATCGTGCCGGAGGTTCCGTTAAACTTGGATTTTACAGTATACCCATCATTAGACTTCATGAATGTGAGAAGACTAAGCTTTTGTCAGAACAACCACGGAGGTTATGGCTTGCGAAGATAAACAGACAAGAAACTCCCTCAAAACACGCAAGAATATGCTCGGAGCACTTTGTGTCAGGTGCGTATCGTATCTTATAATGTGTTGACAGACGTAATTTACTCAGTACTAACTTGTGTATGCTGATAGCTGGTAACTTGAGAGTTTCATTATTTAGATTACTTTATTATGAGGAGGATCGGTGTCGCGTCCGAGGCTCTCGAGGGCAACGTAAATGTATTAAATAGATAATAATAGTTCTATGGTGGGCTAAAACAATGTTCACAAACAGCATTGCTTCTGTAAAAAGATCTGTGTCATAAAATAAACTGCTCTTTACGCCTGGAAAAATCAGTTGCCCACCATTCACCAAAACATACGGTCAAAAACGCGGAAATTAACAATAACAGCAATCCAGAGTGTCCGTGTGGCATTAGCATTAATTAAATTAATTGTTAATATAATTAAAATAATTAAATGGAGCTCCAACTGGTATTAAATCTAAAGTTTTTGAGAAATGTTTGCATTGCTTGTTAATTTTTGCTGCATAATTTGATCAAATATGTAAAACATGTCCGTAGCACGTTAAACTGTGGTGCCATTGTATTAATTTACAATTATTTGCTCAAAAGTTGCCCTTTTTTTCCAATTTGCGTTTGAATATCTACATTTATTCTCATTCTTCTGTTTAATGGAATGCACAAACACAGCAGCGTGCCATCAAAGATGGCGTCTCCGAGGAGGTCATGTGACATTCATTGGTCTGTGGGAACTATGTATAGTCCCGAACTATATAGTGAGTGAGTGAATAGGGTATAGTGTGGACATTCGGATACAGCCACTGTGTGCTGTGGCAGCTGGCGCTAGGCTACAAACCGAGTGGCTACAACCTGACGTTGTTTTCCCTAATCAGACCACTCCTAGACATTCTGATTCATCGGTGAGTTTTGCCAAAGTGTTTTCTATAATATTTGTGCAACTTGCTGTTCGAATCTGTGCTTTTGACCGTTTAAAATGCAGATGTAGTGTGGTTAGCCGCTATGGTTTGCCGTCGTACGGAACTCCGCCGTAAAAGCGGGTGATTTTGTTTTGTAGTTATTATTACCTCATAATGAGAACCATTTTTGATTGAACTACCTTTGATTAATTAATATGTATATGTTGCCTTGAATTCGGTAGGCACGGATTATACTTTAGAGTTTGAGTTTTGTTTTAAAGTGACTTTGTTTTGAGTTAGCAGCACATTGTCATGGTTAAAGCCCATGCTAGCGCAGCTGTTAATTTGATGAGCTATAGCTATTTGATTTTGAATTATTGACTGTACAACTTTGAAAGATGTGATTTAGGTGCCGTTTTTTTTGGTACTGCTTTTTGACATGTTACCGGTAACTGAATTTGATTATGACCTCGTTTTCAGGCCAGGTTTTTTGTTCATCCCTGGATCATGGACTGATCCTCTCTGGACTGACTCTTCACTGACTATCCCATGAACTGAGTGAACTGATGGCGAGCTGGTAGGATAGACTTTGATATTTTTCTCTTTTCGAAATCCTTGGACTATGGATTAAGACTCTAAAACCCTAATATTTCCCCGAATTCAACAATGGATTAAAACTATTCGCACGGATTAAAAACCAAATAATGGATTAAAAACTGAACTCTTTCCTAAAAACGGATAAAAAAACTGAAAGCATTGAGCTTTAAAATCAAAGACTTATTTTGAGTATAGTTATTAGTTTTTTTGAATACTTTTTGCTATTTTTGTTCCCTTTTTGTGTGGTAAATATACATTTTGAGTTCAACTTCATACTTTTCCCTTATTGATAATCCTTGATCTAAACCTTTAATACATTTTTTCCTTTTGCATTTAAACTTCATTGTCTCTGTGTATCATTCATACCACCCTCAAGCTCCTAAACGAATTTGGACTTCTGTGAACTAACCCATTAGAGATTTCAAGATTATAACATAGGTTACAAGTGGCGAGCTAGCCAGGAGCTTGATTGGTGTATGGATATCCGTTCTGTTGTTGGGGATAAATCATTAGGTAAAATGTCTTTGTCTGGGGTAAATATGAGAAAGAGTGTGTATATTTCTGGTGCTACTAACACCAACACAGATGATGAAATACTTGAGTTTTTGAAACAATATGGTCCATTGAAGTTTGTTAAATATATAGCAGACCCAGACTCTGACCTTGATAAAAACCTGGTCGTTGAATTTACAAATTTTGATTCTCTAACTCTGTTGAGACCAATACTGCCAAACACCGTTGGTACTTTTTGTGTTAGGGAATTCGGCTATCAAATCCCAGACACAGTGAGAGTGGAGCCTTCTACCGATTATCTCAAAGACTTAAAACAAGTTGCCGATAAAACAGGTAGAAGTTTTGAAACAAGTTATGGATCAAATTGGGAAACATTTGGAGACAGAAGGACAGGATGAACTAGACTCTGTGCTTGTTGTAGACCCAGTGGCTTCTCCCTCGTCTGGCCAGCAAGGGACACTGCCCGGGGCCTCCGCCCATAATACATCAAGTCGTTATGAGTCTCATCCACAGGCGTCCCAGCCGGCGGCACCCAGGTTCTCACTGAGTCAGCAGGACCTGAATCCCGCCGAAGTACGAGTAGTAGTGGAGCACGTCATGCGGACAGAGGATTTAACCCCAAACATGTATTCTTCATTGAGATTACGTCCATTTTCAGGCCGAATCCCCAAACCTGGAAATGAGGCAGATTATGAAACGTGGAGATCGCATGCGGAGTTATTGCTAGCGGACCCCACAGCACCTCCTCTACATACCACCAGACGATTATTGGACAGTTTGCTCTCCCCTGCCGCGGAGGTGGTGAAAGGCCTGTCCTCGGACACTCCCCCAGCAGTATACTTACAAGTATTGGACTCCGCTTTTTCTGCTGTACAAGATGGGGAAGAACTGTTTGCCCAGTTTCTAAATACTTTACAAGACTCAGGAGAGAAACCGTCAACTTACCTGCAGCGGTTACAGCTTTCATTAACCACTGTGGTGAAGCGAGGCGGGGTTCGAGACGCAGACACAGCCAAGCATCTCTTGAAGCAGTTTTGCCGAGGCTGCTGGGATAACGCATTAATTACAAAACTACAACTTGAACTGAGACTGAGAAATCCTCCACTTTTTGCTGAACTGTTATTGTTACTGAGAACTGAGGAAGACAGACAGATGGCTAAAGACAGTCTAATGAGGAAACACATGGGCTCGGTCAAACCACGTGCCCAGCTCCATTCGCAGCAAGCGTGTATCTGTGGCCAGC